TGACAAAATGATTGCCAGAGTGCTTAGTTATCTCAGTGTAGTGTACTTGACTTTCTATTATAATTACATACAGGACATGTAACTGCTATGCATGAACCATTAATGAATTTTTTCCACTCATAAACTTTTATTTTAAAAAGCAAAACAGGAAAAGTGATAGAAATGATACAAAATCCAAAAAAATAGGAAATTAACACTAGTTAATATGTTGCGTATTGTTATTTTAGAAGTAGTTGTTCAGGTTACAAGATAGAGGCATAAAAGTGATCAAATAATCAAACAATGACGGCACAAACTGTTCTTTTTGATGAACTAACAGATTAGTGTCTTGCATACATTAGTGAATTTTGAGTGGGGAAAATTTCACTGTAAGTCAGGTCACAGGTATGTACTCTGGCCTGGAGCTTTAGAAATTTCCTAAGTCTTTGTCACCTTTATTTCTATTTTTCTTTGGACATTGGGAGGTAGGACTAACCCTGGGTTGTTCACCAAGTTCAGGTGAATGGAGGGAGAGTGGTTCCACAGCCCCAGTTTGCTATCTACTGTTAGCTGGGGCTTGAATTCAGCCTTTACAATTTGACAAACCATGATCTCATCAGTAAAATGAGCATAACAGGAGTCACTCTGATCTGGAATTGGTATGCTAATGAAATGAGAAAATGCGTCCAGAACACCTAGCAAAATGCTTAAGTGTTCTATGTTAAGGGCTGAGTGAATTCCTGCAGCTATTGCTGTGGTAGTGCCTTTCTGTGTTGAGTCATTCACGTGGTGTGTATATACTTGGTTTCTGGGTTTCGGGAAGATCTCTATTCTCCTCTAAACTTCTTGCTTCCTCTTTCATTCACAATGGTACATGCTCGTAGGTGTGCTGTGATTCCTCCCCAGCAGCCACCAATCAGGCAATCACAAATCCTTAGTTTAGAGATTAGGTGGGAAAACAAAATGCTACACCAAAAAACTTGGGCATCTCGCCCTCTAGCGGTAATGTAATGAATTTTCCCTAACAATTACTAGATTGATTTACAAATAGGAGTTAATGGTAAAAATTAAAAGGATAAATTTGGCATAGTTTTACTTAAAAAAAAAAAACCCTTCGGTTTAAAATAAATTTGTTAATAATTAATACATAATAAATTAGTATGGGATATAAGGCAGATGTGTTACAGTTACAACAAATATCAGAGTATCTTGTATTTGCATACTTTCTTATGTACTAATATTCCATTACACCTAATGAGGATTTTCCAATTTGGAGCAAAAATCCATAATTAACAATTCAATATACATCTGTATATCCTATCCCCTAGTAAAATAATTGTAATGTACATTAAAGTCTAATCTCATTGCACTCAATAATGTTTTTCTCCTAAAACAGCATTATAATCATTGCTTATAATAGCATCATCTCCTCTTCAAAGACTTATACATTTTTCATAGAAGTTTGTTTTTTCAACAGGTAGGTATGGCAGAATTTATTCTCCTGGTTATATTGAGGAGGAAGCAGGAAGCTTATTTACAAAGAAGTTAAATGAGTTTGCTGTCATCACCCAGGGTACTTTGCAAAGGACTGAAATAATTTTTACTCCTAGGAAATTCCTTGCAGCAAAATAAATTTGATGGAGCTTCCATTTGCAAGGCTACAGTCTAAGTATTTGTCAGTTGCATCGCAGGTCTGTCTGTTCAATTACTTGACAGATATATATGGAACATCAGCATGCAAAACACTCTGAAAGTATGAAATGTAAAGTTTTCATGACAGAAATGTGACATGCTTTTGTGTCTTCTGATTGTATTTGGCAAATTTCGTTTTATGTGGCCTTTTACCTCTTCTTGATTTTTTGATTCTCTGACATTTCAGTCCTGCCATTTTAAATTCATGATATTTGATTTCTTCATACTGACTTTGCACCTGACTTTCCAGTCCTCTTCCTGTAGTCTATATACTTTTTAGTTGCTTCGCTAGTGTCAAGTCAAAAATAAATGCACTATGTCTTTTTCTATACCACAGTTGAATTGCTAAAGAATAGCAACAAAAAAATACAAACAACTCATACTATCTTGTTAGAATCTAGTAATGTTTTAAGAATCTTTAGATATAATGTGATACTTTAGTTCATGGTAATGAAATTCTACTTGTGAAAGTTTACAGTGGGAAAACATTTCATGGTAAATGTGACTTCATTGATCCTTGGTATCATACTTTTGTTTATTTTATGAAAAAATTCCACCAGAGTTTTTGAGATGCTTATTATATCACCCTGTACTGTAAACACTGAGTAAAAATAAAGGGGATAACAGCTAGAAGTTATTTTCCCCATATTGAATTTCTACTCTCTGGCTATTAACGAACATAAAAGTAAGTACTTCCTCTTTGACACCTAAAGCAAGGGAAAAGAAGAATAAATCATAAATCTGTGAAATCCAATGCACATTACTCAGGTGGATTTGCTGTACATTCTTAAGGTCTGTATGATAAAGTTAATTGTAATTACATTTAAGTGCATCAAATTGTTCTTAAGGATGACTCTTTTGACTCAGAAGCAGATATTTCAATTATAGTAAATACTAACTATGGCCCTCACTCATGGGCCAAACTAGCTCATTAACATTGTAAAGGCATATTCTGGACAACAGATACCTTAGAGAAGGTAACTAAAGGAATTTAGGAAACAAATGGAAAAAATATTTCCAATGGTTTTTATATAAAGTAGGTAGTAATAGAGTTTGAAACTATATTGTCCAGTCAAACTTGTTAATTCAAAAGTAGTTACTAAGCATCTTAGGTTCCAGAAAAAATATAAAATGTGATTTATGGGTCTCTTTTCATTACTTCCACATTTTCTTTTTTTCCATAAATTAGCTTTGAAAATGAAGCTATTAAAAATGTATTTTTTTTTCTTAAAACAGTTTGGCAATACATCTTAGTTGTTTTATTACATGGGAACAGTATCACAGAAAATCCATAAAGTAGAATAATAAAAATTATTTTAAAATGAATAAAACTAAAAATACTAAAATTAAATTCAATCAAGAAATGCATTGCCTGGACAAATTTATTCCTCTCTATTCTCAATAGTTATGAGTGACAAACCACAAGTAAACCACCCAATGTCAAAGCATGAATAAAATTGATCCCTGTGGGCCAGTGGGCAGCCTATATTTAGCACAACGTAGTTTACCTTTTTCAGCAAAGAGCAGTAGTCATCAAAACCCACAGTGACTTTAAAGTGAGTCATTTATTTGTTTATTTACTATTCATTCTTTAATGAATACTTTACATTCCATATGATAAATTGAATTAGCCTAGATACAAAAGTTTATATACAATAGAGCGGTTAATATTCAAGTCATAAAATGGCCTCAGAAACCATGGCATTCAAAACCATTATTGGGCCAATGATGCCTTTGAAGATCTAATAAAGAGCTGTAAAAAAAAGCCCCCCCCCCAAAAAAAAATGTGCCTATGTAAAAGGCATATCATTTGGCCAACAACCAGAAACTTATATAGGTACCCTTTCCTAGTGTCCTAGAACACCAATTCCGTAACCCTTTGTTTATTTATCTATCTTTTTGACTTTTTGAGACAAGATTTCACTATGTAGTTCAACCTAGCATTGAATTCACTTTATGTAGCCCAGGTTTTTCTCAAACTCTGCCTCAGTCACCAGAGTGCTGAGATTACAGGCATGTGCCACCATGCCCAGCCAATAACTCTTCATTTAGAAAATGTGAAATCCTGATATGTGATAGTTATTATACTTGAACACTGCATTTACCAATGAACTTTCTATGAACTGATGATAAACATTACATATGCTCAGTTACAGAGTTCTCAGCATCTAAAAAAGGAAGCAGATCATCTCACAAAATCATAAGCAAAATATGATGAAATGGCCATGTTTATACATTTTATAAATTGGTTATAACAAAAAAGTAGCAATGAATTGATGAAATTCATTGAAAATTAGAACTTGGGGTAGAATATTTATGCTAATCATGTTGAGTGTATTAAACTAGGCACAGCATCTTATTCTAATCATTTTGAAGCAGAGAGAATGTACTGTATGTGTCTTTCTTTAATAGTAGATTTACCTAATACTATTTGATTAAAGTTGACATTAATATTTCCCCATGAACATATCAAGTAAGCAGCAAGGGAGGCTTAAGGGTATATAGAGAAATCAACCTGTGATTAAATATCTGCTATTAATAGGTCATATCATGGAAAAATAGCACATACACAATAGCAAATAATCACTTTACATATGTTCTGCTTCCAATCTTAACATTACTTCTTCAAAGGCAAATATATAGCACAGCTATTCTTGTTGCAATTATAGGCATAGGGAGTATAGGATAGGCTAAGAATACAATCTCTGGAATCACAGATAGTTTTTCTACCATTTATTGAACATATGACCTTGGGTAAGGTAAATGACTTATCTGAATCTCAGTGTCCTCGCCTGAAAAATAAGAACATGAGGAATGTTAGTCTTGGCCCCATTCCTATACTGCACAGAGGTCTCTTGGAAATATTTGTTTGAATCAACTAAAACCAACTCATCGGTGCACTCTAGCATTCATACAATTTTGCATGATTCTGTAAAGGAAATACTGCATGACTACAGGAAGTAATTCACTTACCAGGCGACTGCTGGAATTGGGACTTGACTGTGGAGACTCGGGACAAACCCTATAAGACAGGCATGTGGAAAGCTCCTTGGCACATCTGGTCTACTCCCTGCTGAAGGCTATTTCAGAGAATTGGAAAGTGGTCTGAAAGACACAGAGACATATAAATGTCTCTATTTGCTAAATTCTTGAAAAGATACTAGTCTATGTCATGGAGTCACTGATATGTAAAACTCTTGACTTAGTATCTGGGTCACAAAAAGTCCACAGTACATGTTTGCAATGATTATTGCTTTTACTAGTGTTACCAGAAGTGCTTACTGCTTCTCATGCTTCACTTTTTCTATTTTTGTTTGTTTGTTTTTCAGTGGATGGCTGTATTGACTGGTCAGTGGATCTCAAAACATACATGGCTTTGGCAGGTGAACCAGTCCGAGTGAAATGTGCTCTTTTCTATAGTTATATTCGCACCAACTATAGCATGGCCCAGAGCACTGGGCTCAGACTTATGTGGTACAAAAACAAAGGTGATTTGGAAGAGCCCATCATCTTTTCAGAGGTCAGGATGAGCAAAGAAGACGATTCAATATGGTTTCATTCGGCTGAAGCTCAAGACAGTGGATTCTATACTTGTGTTTTAAGGTAAGTGTTGTGTGAAAATATTGTTCAAGCACTTGACTAGTAGTTTTTTGACCAAAACAGGAATGTACGGAGTGCCTCACAATAAAAATTAAAAAAAAAAAAACTGACATGTTTTTTACAGGTTATAGTGCGTATAGAACTTTAGTAAACTTAATGCTATTATCTATTGAACTACCCAGGAAATTCTTATCAAGGTGTTATAAATTAGGATTTCTGTTTATCATGCACCCATCAAATTTTAAAAAAAAATGTGCTTCAAGAATTTCCCAACTCCATTCCTGCCACTGGCTCTTACATTGACAATTACTAAACAGGCAAATTGGCTCAATGATCTTGATAATTAGTCATAGACATGACTTTAAGTATATTCAGACTAAAGTCTCATTTTTTGTTGATGGAGCATAGTTTTAAATTCTTCTGGGTACCTCTTCACAAAGAAGCTACTGGTAATATCCTTCATAGAATTTACAATGTGAATTTGCTTTCATTGTGTCTAATTATTCAACATAGAACTCCATAAACACAGTCATTCTTTATTTCTGGGTACTATACTGAGAAAATACCATAGACCTCCTAATTCTTGCTTGCAAGATGTTTTCAGTGAAAAGCAATCTGTTTTGTTAGTGAGAACACAATATGCCCTCTCTTCCCACTTTATCTCAGTGGTAGGACCTAGGATCTAGCGTCTCAAATGTTCAGGCAGAGACTGGATTAGGTATTGAAGTAGCAAGCTAAAATGACCTTTAAAGCACCTTTCAAGTCTATCGTTTTAAGAGTCTCAGATCTGACTCACCAGGGACCTGCACTCTACTATTTGATTTTAACTTCTTAGAAATACAAACCCTCCCTATTTTTGTCTCTTGTGGACTTTGAGGCCAAAGCTGTGTCACATCTTTATCAAAAGCACTTGAGACTCCCTGGTGAGGCTTCATTATTCTAAAGGCCAGGAGAACACGCTGATTTATAAATACAAAAACTTCTTGATGCCTTAAGAATCACATTTGGTAGGGGGAGGAGAACTAGGAGAGCAAATGCTGACTTTAGTTTCTGTTTGAGGTAGGCAAAATCACCAGGATCTTGGCAGAAGCAGCAATCATTTTCATTATACCCTCAGTGATAGGCAATGTGTTCTGCTTAGATAGCTCTTGGCAAAATTGAGACGTGAGTGTAATGAGTTTTAGCAACTGACACTGTGTTTTCCAGCATGCCTGATACTCGTAAACTTTTCCTGCTTGTCCCCTCTATATATCTACCTCTATTTGTTTTTTACTTGTTGTTTTTACAAATTTGAAGTTTATTTGCAAGGCATGAGTCTACTAGCATCCACAGGTGCTAGGCTTATAATGAATTACTGAACAAAGTATTATTTACTTTCCCTCCTCTATTTATATCTTCGGTCTTGCTACCTCCCCTTTTTTTGTTTTCCCTCTAACCTAGGCCACTGTAATACTCCTAGTTAATAAATTAGTATGTACAATTACATACATCATCCTTACTCTTAAGTTCATTTGCAGAGTACTTTTCTCCTCATAAATAGGATGGTTTCATAAATAGGATGGTTATATATTTATATGGAATTTTTTGCTTCATGTCTTTTTTATTGAATATTGGTTATATAGATCAATGGGTTTTATCTTGGCAAATTTTTACATGTACATAATATATCTAATCAAAACCTCCGTCTTCTCCTTTTCACTGCTCTCCACCCTACTTTCATTTTTTTTACAATATGAATAATATATTTGATCATATCCATGCCCCCACTACCTGCTCTTATAATCTATACTTCCTCCCTTCCACTTATTCTCTTATTCTTTTCCAATAATAATGTCCCTTCCTCTTCCCTGTTATTTTCCCAAATATTTTGGAGAACGTTTTGTTAGGCGTTTTTGTGAATCTGGCTTAATTTATCCAATGTGATGATCTCTAGGTTCATTTTCCTATAAATAGCAAAAATGTCATTCTTCTTAATGGTTGTATTTTTCTGTTATTAGAAAAAATATATATTGAATGTCTCTAAGTTAATAGAGAATTAATTCTATTTTAAATATACAGCATTCAGAGTTGCTTAATATAGTGCTACCACAATTTAATCAATTGTTTCCAGATTGTCTGTACTTAGTATACAGTAATAAATCCCTTATTTGATTTTTGATAAACATTTAATTTTTAACAAGTTTTTACAATTATAGAATTTTTGCAAAGGCAATATAGAGATTATATATCCTATATTATTTCATAAGTCTCATATGAGCATGGTATTTAAATCCATATTTCTGGAAGTTTCCACAATTTTTCTGCTTTGGGATCCAAGCTGTGATACTATGTAGTTGTTAAGTTTCATATAAGTTGTAGAAGTTCCCTTAATTGACATCTGTTTAATTTTTTTTTCTCATGGTTAGACTGGGATAATGTGTTTGTGGAAGAAAAACACAGAGGTAAAATATCATTTCTTATCACATCTTATCAAGGTACAGAGGATCAATATATATTATTACTGTTGATGTTGAACTTGGTCACCTGTCTTGAGATACCAGTGTGTTCTTCCTAGTATGAAATTGCTCTTTTTTTACTTCCCTTCAATACAATAATCTTTGATAAAAAGTCATCATTTACAGCCCATGCTTATGGAAGTGGTAATTAAGCTGTACCTTTGTAAGGGCAGAATATCTACATAAACTATTTATAGTTCTGCAGGAGAAATAGATCTCTTCCCTTATTTGATTATTTATTCATTTATATCATATAAACTCAAGTATCTTTACATTATACTTTAGGTTTTAATGCAATACTCATATTTTCTTGGTCAAATACTTTTCAAAATTTTTTTGCATTTTACTTTGAAGAAGCAAAACAAACAAATAAAGAAAAACACAGACATCTTCTTTGCTTCTTTTGCTTCTTTGCTTCTTGAAAAACAAGAAGCAAAAGTGACAAAATGCAACAACAAAAATACCAAAATAATAATGATATAAACTTTTAAATCAATATGATAATAATTTAACAATGGTTGCTATTTCGCATAGTTATCTTCAAAATAATTTTCCAGATTACCAGATATAGATTTACAAAATTGATCTAATCTTAAGATTAGTGTTCTGTTCCAAGAACAAATAGAATTAGTAGTATAATCATCTAAGCTATCATATATCTATCCATCTCTCTCTCTACATATATATTATATATATAGATGAATAGATGGATATCTATATATATATATATATATATATATGTTTTTTTTCTTTTTCCTTCCTTCTTTTCTCCTTTTCCCTTTGAACAATGCCTTACCCTTTCACAATGCTAATTAAAGATTTTGGATTTTATTTATTCTTTCAGTTTCTTACACTAGGAAGACAATACAGATTTTACACATGTGAGTCTGATTTATTTCACTTATGTGTATGGTTTCAAGTTGCATCCATTTATCTTTAAAAGCCTCAATATAATATTTCTTTACAGCTTAGTGGTACTCCATTGTGTACAAATACCACATCATTTTTATCCATTCCTCAGTTGATGGGCATTTGGGTTGTTTCCACTACTTGGCTATTACAAATTGTGCTGCTATAATCATGGGTGCATATATATCATTGTTGTATGATGTTTTCAATTCTTCTGGGAAAATGCCCAGAAGTAGGATAGCCGGGTCAAATGGGACCTCTATGTTTGCCCACTAAAGTCTATTTCAGCTGACTCACTGTCCATATAACACATTGTGAGTTTTGGTGAGGGTGGGGTTTTTTAGTATTTATATGTATGATAGAAGGGTACTTCAGGCTTATCTTATGTATTTCCTGCCCAGACTAAGAATCAGCTTTTTAATTTTTTTTGCCTTTTTGAGACAGGGTCTCACTATGCAGTTCAGGCTGGCCTTGAGCTCACTTTGTAACCCAGGCTGGTCTTGAACTTGCAACTATCCTCATGCCTCAGTCTCCTTAGTGCTGGGATTACAGGTCTGTGTCACCACATGCAGCTATTTCATTTGAAGATCCTTGATGTCTTTTAGTAGATGATGCTATAAAAAATCAAGATTTAAGTGTAAGATGTACTCACTGCTACTAATGTTGCTGCTTCTAGGTCCTCTTAGATGACAAACTATTTGATTTTAAACAAAGACTTTCACTATTTCTTGCATAGGTTCACACATGGTAAAAGAATACTCTGGGATAGTGGTACTTCCCATTGTCTCTAAGACCTTTTTCCTATAGGCAGCCTTCTCTTTCTAGTTTCTATCAGATTAACCTTTTATATTTGTTATAGATGCCATCTGAGTCAGTGGTTCTCAATTTACATGTAGCTCAATAGAAGCGAAAGGGATGGATTCTGTTAAGCAGAGGCTTAGATTCAAGCAGAACTGATAATTACTTTTATTTATGCAGCAAATCTTAGGGAACAACTGAAACTTGTATCAGGTGGGGAAACTTTATTTTTATACCTTATGTATGTCTTTGCAAAGAAAACAAAGTTTGAGTACAACTGTTTCAAACGAACCAATCCATCTTGTCAACTCAGAGACACAGAAATTTATTCTTGTCTGCCTAATTGAAATATGACTATAAACAATGAGCAGTTCTTTTAATCTAGTTATAGACATTGCCATCAAACAGGCACCAAGATAGAAGTTCAGTGCATATAGTTGATTTTATACAAATGTCCTGAATGGCATTTCTAGTTTAAAAGGGCCTTTAAATTGATAAGATCAATATTAACCTAAAATCCTAAAATTTTTATCATCTTAAGACCATCATGAATGATTTTTCTGTGCTTTATTGACCTCATTAGAAATCATTTTATTGGTTTCATTGTTTTAAAAATACAGATATGAAATACTTTGTAATATTCTCCATCAATTTGAAGCATACAAGGCGTTTTCTTTTTTGACCTTTCAGTAACTAATTATACCCTTTGAAGAAAGTTTTGGCCAGTCTCAATAGCAATTAGTTGAATTTCTTAGCATTTTAATGGGCTAGTAACAGAAGAATAGTTGAAGCCTGAGTTGT